GAACATTACGATGGTAAACATGAACAAGGTTATTCGTTTACCTCATATTAGTGTAGTTTTTCTCATTTGTTTCTTCATTTGTGATATTCTACAACAACTAGAATAGCATCGAAATTCATGATTGATTCATGTTTATCGAGATCCATTAATATCAAATAAAGAATTCCAAATATTGTACCTTGAATATTTTCTTCTGTGCTCTTATCTTCTAAGAAAATAATAAAATAAGTATTTACCAAAAGACTCGTGTGTCTGTAGTGTGTTGCATTTGTTGACATGCCTGGCAAACAGTTTTTGTGTTTGAAGTTAGAAAAGAAGACTGAGTGTAGGAAGAAAAAACTTGATGAAAATAACATGTTTTTATCTATCTGAAAAAATGCTATTCGTAAAAGATAAAGTTCGTCAATTTTAGAGTTTTTTCCAAGTGAAGATTTATATTTCACTATCAAAGCTATGCTTAAAAGACCCATCATGTGCAATCAAAATAGAATTGCCTCTCAATACTTCCGTTCTCTTGCCTTTTTTTTCGTCCACGGTAGCAATAGAAAGAACTATATATATAGAAATATATTAAGGACCTTGTAAAAAGAAAATTTCTTTTAACAATATTGATTACCGTCATCTAAAAGGTATGACTTTCTTTGGAAATACTGAATATGATTTCACGATGTTCGGTGAAACAGTCAATGTACCAAATGCTGACATTGCCCGAATTATGTACTATTTGGATTGTGTATGTACCGTCATTGATTATAATGATAATGATATTCGTCGATATCGAAACTATTTAAATTGGAGAAATATGTCGGATGAAGAAGATCGATTCATCTTTCTACTAGCTTTGGCACTTTCACCGGATGAATTAGAAGACAAGGTCTTTTTTAATGCACCATCACTGTGTCCTGATAGCAATAATCAATTTTACGAAATTGGTCAAGTAAGAAATCAATTAATGATTGTTCAATCGATCGTTATTGGTGGTCGATCACGACAAGTAAAAAGAATTATGGCTTATGAGCAGGTTTGGATGCGTAGAAATTACTATGAACCAATGCAACGGCTTGCAATTCGATTTAGTCCAGAAAGACAACGCCAAGAGGCACTTATGAGAGCAATGACTTGCATTATTTCTTAAAAATACAAAGTGTCCCAAAAAAATGTATATTATACAAGAGAACGATCCAGTAGCATAAGAAGCAATATTTCGATCGACTTTCGCATTCACAAAAACAAGTTTCAGCGAGAATCAAGCCAAAATATAAGGTCACCATTGCTCGACAATCGTTCTAGACAAGTATTAGAAACTAACCACTATCGTGTCAAAATAAGAGTGTATTGATGTTTGAAAATAGATTTCAAATAAAATTTGTTACTGATCAATCGATTTAATCCATTGATCATATTGATTGTTTCTTCGAACACATATTTCGAAATGTTTTTTTTTTTAATTTCTACGTCTTGGAATATCGGACTTTGAAGGCATCTTTCCTTCTCGTATCATATTGTCTATCTGTCCCTATCATAAATCGCCATAGAGACTTGACAATGATTCTCTCTTGAGCTTGTGACGAGTCGAGATGAATATAACGAACGTCTTCATGCCCATGTAAAGCTGCTCTGTTGTGTTTCACCTTAGAATCCGGTAGAAATTGTGCTGAAAGCTTCTATTTTGAAGCAAGAATAAATTTTGTTATAAGGTATACACAAGCTACAGTTGAAAAGGCGTTCATCTCTTAATTGATATAATTTCCTCTACTGAAACGAAACGAATTTTGAATATTTTTCGACAGATTAATAAAAAATTGATTTATTGGCATTGTGTAAAATAAAGTGATCAGTAAATCGACGATTTACTTTGAGAAATAGAGGTTCATCTTTTGCCTAAAAATGTCGATACGTAGTTGAGCATCTGGCTACCAGTCTTATTTTGAGCTGTCTTGTCACCACAAGCAAACAGATTATTACACATAAAACTCGTCGGTCGATTCACAGATATGTTGTCACCAAGATGAACATCAACAAGACGAAATACTTTGTTGTTCGCTTTTTTCGTTTTCTTTTTTGTTGTTGTTGTCGAAGTCGTAGTCAAACGATTCAATGGAATATTAGTTTATTCTTGTACTGAAAAAGACTGCTTTTCGACTAATGATGGAAAACAGAAAGTAATTTTATTAAGTAATTTCTTATTCATATCATATAGAAATGTGCCCGAACATCGTTGCATTGATAGTGAAGATGAATTATCACGGATAAATAGCGTTGAATTAAGATAGTTGATGAGTGGCTTGAATTCGACATTAATAACTGAAAGAAGTCATGATTGCAGTGACTCGATTGAGATAAAATGAAGGTTTCTAATCGCGATCGTAGACCTCATATACTTGAAGTCATCGGTAAAACTAGTAGTTCCTGTCACGGTCACGTGCGTCATTTTCTCCAAAGAGGCCTTGGCTCCAAAAACCATTATTAAGATATAATCGTGTTGATGCTCGACATGTACGACAAAATGACAACGTTCTTCTGATGTTGGTACCAAATCAGATCGATCACATACATTGAATTTGTCTGAATGTTTTGCTAAGCTCACTTGTAACAACAGAGAAGAAAAAGCAGACTAGAATGAAAAAGATGAACATTTGAAAAGTACGTTGTATCGTTCAAACAATTATACTAGACAAACAAAATATTGAATATTAAGCAAACTAATGGTCTATTTTAATTCTTTTTTTTCTACTTTTGTTGTCTCTCTTAGAAATGATATTATACATTTGTGTCATACAAATATAACTGAATGTATCTTCTGGGTTGTGTTCACATTGTCCGTCATACTCGTTACAGCTCGATTCTTTTACTCTGCCGTGACATAGATAAGAAAGCAAAATTTTTCCCGAGACTCTGTATTCAGAAGACATTTATCGTTGGTATCAATCATCAGGCACGTCATCTCATTGGGCTAAGAAAACGTTGTTGTTTTCTGTTGCTGACTATGATTGATGAGCTTTTATCGACGATAAAAAGTAAAAGCATAGAGAAAGACGAATATTGGATAGAGATCTTCATATTATGCTATTATAGAAATGGTTGACAGGATGTATTTGAAATACAATGGATTAGGCTACTGAACAAGTGAATTGGCAGGCCAACATCAAACACACTATGTATGTGTATTGCTAATGATGAAAACGATCGCAAGCAAAGAATCCTCAGTGATAATTTTCGACAGGGTCATAGTTAACTCGTAGTACAGCAAGTATGTTATCTGTGTCTGTTTGATCATCCTTGACTACTCTCTAAGAGATGACCATTTTGAGTTACTTGAATAATTTGCCGGACACACGGATGCTCTATGCTGTGAAAACGATCTGTTGATAATGATGAATGACAATAAATTGTAAAACGCCATGAACCATACCATTATTGTTAATATTCTTTTTGAATTCATAGAACACGTTTGATAGTGAATTCGTAATATTTCTCGCTAATGACGCTTCAGGGATAGCTTCGCTTTTTATCGTCTTGAATACTTTTCAAACTTTATCTTCTGTACGATAAAACCGGTAGATACAAGCACATACAATAGAATGATTTGTAAGTAGTTAATGAACGATCTGTCGAATCAATCGACTAATCATTTACTCAACACGATGACACATAAAAGAATCTCTTCTGATCACATAAAGAGAATTTGCCTCTGGTCGAAGGGTATCGTGTAAGTGTGGGTGTGAGCGTGGACACACCCAGGCAGATAAAAAATGGCTTTAAGAATGTTAAAATGAGTTAAATTAACGCTTTTAGTGTTTTAAAACTTGTAAATATGTTTTATTGATTTAGCCTAATTTCGATTTTCAACTGATAGAAACTGTCTCATTATGTTACCATAAAGCAAAATCACATTGAAACAAAAAATTTCCAGTTTAGTTTAAATCATCTTAATTTGGTCGAAAATCGTTCAGTAGTCTTCTATACATTAAATATTGTCTTACACTATAGTTATCAAAACGTACTTCTCTACCTAAAAATCAAGTAAACAAATCGTTTGACAATAAAAACATGTTTCTGTAATTGAATATGTAGTAGGTGGTATTGAATGTTCTCCGTTGGACATGTTTTGACTAGGGAATGATATGTATATGAACATGCATAGTTATATCTTTAACTTGAGTCGTTTGTAAAGAAATATATTAAGTGTATCTCATGTACTTTCAAAAAAGTTAGAAATCTATGGAAACAACAATCGTAGTGACTTTTAGAAGACAAAAAGCGAGTTTCTACGTAATCTTCTGAGATTAACAATGATAAATTGATGTAACGCTCTCAAACTGTTGCGCGCCCCATTGTTGCACTCGTATTCAAAACCATGAAATGTTAAAGTATCAAAAATTGATGATATCTACAGTTGTTCTGTTGTTGTATAGCATACATCACTAAGTGCTGACATTTCTCGTCCCTCTTCTGATCCATCTGATGTTCACGGTACTTTTTTCTTTGTCAGAAATGAACACCTCATATTTCACTAATAAACTGTCGATAGTGAAGTGATTCTTTTTATTATTATTATTACTATTTAAATAAGCAAATGAGAATTTTGCTATTTCATGTATATGCCAATAT